CCGCCTGATTCTCTTGGATATCGTGGGTGTTGCCGTCATTCTTTTCATCGACGTCATAGAAGCGGACGTGCTCCTTGACCTTATAGTTGTGGGTCTTCTTGGAGATGCGGTCCTTGAGATCCTGGCCATCCTCGGTCGGGAAGGACATCGCATTGCCGTCATGGTCACCAAAGCACGTCTTATACACACATGTTGCAGAGGTAGAACTCCGAGCGCCATCGAAGATCACCTCCACATCGGCATCCTTGGGATTCTGCCCGGTCGTGGCCCCGATGCCGTGGGGCCACTCGGGCTTGTCGGCGCTCAGTCCTGAGCTGGCTCCTCGTCGGTTCCCCGACGGCTTAAGCCATGCCTGTCTCTGATAATGGCCAACCTCGTCTCCAGGTGTTGGATCTCGTCCAAAACCTCCGCGTCCACCTCGGCCTCCATTCGACGATATCCTCGTTCGCTCGACGTAGCACTCGGTGGTGTCCGCCGAATCGTAGAAGCCCTTGTCTTCGCCTTTGGAGTCGCCGCCGGTGCATTCCATGGAGCCCTCGCCAAGAGCTCCCAGCTGTGGTTCCCCTCCGAGCTCTCCGGCACGTAGGGAGTCCTCGCCACCAGCTCCGGGTCGTCGGGGTCGGTGTAGCGCGCCGGAGTGCTCACGTTCTCCATGTTCGCCTTGCACCAATTCGAGAACTGACGAAGTTCTTCTGAATGGTTCTCGTTCGTGAGGACTTCGTTGATTGCCCACCGGCGATAGCCGATGGGAACCTCGCTGTACAGGTAGCCCTTGTAACGGCCGAAACTCATCACCAGCTGGGTTCCGCCCCCAGCGTGGTCTCTGATGAGCCTCATGATCGTCCCCTTGGTGGCGTTCTCCGGCACCGCAATCCCCAGACTGTTGGCAGAGGAGCTCAGCTCGGCATGTGTCATCCGGGAGATCCCTGTGATCGCGGCATCGGGGTGCTGTGGCGGGGACCTCGCGTTCATGTCCTCCTGAATGATCGAGCGGATCTCGGGAACCGTCCACCGTGGGTTGACCCACAGTCCTCTGGTCGTGGCCTCGTTCACCAGCTCCGTCTTGTTCAGGTCCCAAAGAGATTTCACCTTGGTCGGGGCGGTCAGGAGGCCGTTGGTCTTGGGCGCCATGTTCGTGGAAAGCGAGCACAGACGCGGAAGAGCTGGGGAGGTGCATGGGCTTCCTAGCGAAAACGGTTCTACCGATCCAAAGTGTAGCGTATGATGCACATTGTTTGTCATGCCGCCACAGTTCATGTTGAGGGAGAAGCACATGGTAATCCTTGCATGCAACGCCCCAAGTGCTGCGAACTTCACCAAGAGTCTCGAGAAGAGCTTGCTTATGTTGACTTTGGGCTGTAGTCCAACCTCTGGGGTCAAAGAAGTACCTTCTAGGGATCACGTGGACACGCACTAGAACACCTGCACCTTCTACCCAAAAGTCATTGGAGATGTTTGTACCTTCCCACCAGGCAATGAACGACTGGACACAGAACTGATCTTCAAGCAACATGTTGCGGGTTGCGCTGCCAATCTTCTTAGGGAAAAAGAGTGTAGGTTGTTGTTGAACTGCTCGAACACTCTGGTCATCAGAAGCAACTTCACTGTCAAGACAAAAAGCCATGAACGCCGTGTATTGCGAGGACCTCGGAATGATCTGAAGCTCTGAGTCTCCGGATGCCTTGAAAGTAGCAGCTCCCTGAGGAAGAGGCTCTGGCTGTACAGGTAAGGCTGGGTGCCCTGTAGCGGTCACCTCGAGCTGCAAAGCGTGAACACCTACCTTGCGGAACTCAGCACTGTTCTCTTCGACATCGAGCACCATGCCGAGTCCTCCGAGCGCTGAACGGCTTAACAAAAGGGGCACGTCTCCATTGACGACGCACACTTTGATCCTCACAAGGCTGTTCCCAAGGCCAAAGTTCACAATGATGGCATAGGTGGCCTCGAAAATTCTCGAGGCTCCGAACTTGAAGGCGTCCCGGGTGTTGATGATCTCTGGCTCGTAGCCCACATTGCGGGCCGCACCGACGTAGGCTTCCACCCAGGGAACCCCAGCAACAGACTTGGAGCAGGCCGTATCCGTGATCGCCTGCAAATTCTTCGCCCGGTCCTTGTCCAAATCCCAAGTCACATGTACAACATGGCAAGGAAAATTCGTCTTTGCCATCCCAGAGGCCGCAGGAGTCGTAGCTGTAGTAGCCGCCTGTGAAGCACCGCCTCGCCCTGTAGCTCCCGTACCGCCATGTGAACCGGAAGTTCCTCCTGAGGCTCCTTGGTTTAAGGGACACTCTGCGTCGCGATGCCAATGGCCGCGGCGCTTGCAGCCTGCGCAAAACGACCGCGCTTTCACCATCTGGAGCTTCTCGGCAGCCAGTTTCTTGATTGACTCAGGATCTGATCCCCTCATGCGAATCTGTTCCTTGTACTTCTGTTTGGCCGAGACGTGGGTCATGTACGACTCGTAGAGTTCCTCGGCATCGTCCTCGTCCAGGGAGTCCTTGGCCTCGATGGCGTCCTCGAGGTCCTGGTCCGCATCCAGCTCGGTGTAGTGGACGGAGTTTGAGTTTCTCTTCCACCATCCCGGTTGCCTTCGGGTGCCCGTAGAGGAGCCCGTAGAGGAATCCCATGGTTTCCGAAGCGCTCTGTCTTGTACTATTGCCGCACGTTGTAGAAGCTTGAGGTCGTACAGGTTGTTCACGCTGGACAGCAGGTTGAGCTCAGCCGCCTCGTCAAGGTTCATACGGTCAATGAACACCCATGCACATGCTATGTCCGGGAGGACACAGCCGCATTCGAGGAGCCGCGCATGCGCACGATCAAACTCACCACAGTAGTCCCTGATGCTCTGCCCGGGCTTCTTCCGAAGACGCCGAAAGAAATCGGACAGAGCACGGCCGATCTGCGTCACCTGTACGTCCAGGTACCGGTCGCGCACCCATTGGATGTAGTACTCGAGGCCCTGGCGGCTGCCCAGTTGTTCCATGTCCAGGCGCTCTGCCTCGACCCAAGCTGGGCCAGTAAGGTGCTGGTAGAGCACCAAGGCCTGTTTATCCGACCCGACTCGGGTCATCTTGCGCCACGCCTGGATCTGGCGTATGTAGGAGCGAGCCGTGGTTCCAAGTTCGTCACCGTCTCCTTCTCCCGAAAAGGACGGAACGATCATGCGTTCCGATGGGCCGCGGCCTCCTTCCGGAGGCGGATCCGGCTCATCTCGTCCTCGCCCGGACGATCCACTGTCGCCGTAGTCCTGGTCTCCGCCAAGATCATCCTTGCCGCCGCTGCTTGCACTGGCCGAGGCCGTAGTCCACGAAGCGCCCCAACTCGGTCGGCGCCTCCATGACTGAGACCACACGGGATCCCACCACCATTGCGACTGACGACCCCATGAGTGATCATCCCATCCAGCGGCTTGCCACTGGTCATCACTCCACTTGTGGGCCGCAGTCCCTTGGTCATCTCCGCCGCGCTGCATGCCGCTCCCAGCACCATCATCTTGTCGTTCCGTGGTCGTCATGTCGGGCGGTTGCCATACGCCCGTGCCGTAGAAGCTCGACATGGCCCGCAGCTAAAACCCAAA